GCCTAGGACAGCATGGTGGGCGGGGGAGGCGGAGCCTAGGACAGCATGGTGGGCGGGGGAGGCGGGGCCTAGGACAGCATGGTGGCCGGGGGAGGCGGGGCCTAGGGCGGCATGGTGGGCAGGGGAGGCGGGGCCTAGGGCAGCATGGTGGGCAGGGGAGGCGGGGCCTAGGGCGGCATGGTGGGCAGGGGAGGCGGGGCCTAGGGCAGCATGGTGGGCAGGGGAGGCGGGGCCTGGTGAGGAGGTTGGCGACAACATACGCGGGCTCAGCTCGCCCGTCTGCAAGCGCCACAGCAGCTCCTCGTTGGTGCGGCTCAGCCGCTTCTTCTCATTGCTCTCCCGCTCCACATATACCTGCAGGTTGGCGTTCTCCTCCGAGAGCTGCCTGCAGGGGGGACGGGGAAACAGGGCGCCATGGCAACCATACGTCACTCACAGGCACCATTATGCTAATGATGAGACGTCAGAGGGGAAATCATAGAACGTACCCAGATATCTACAGTACCAACATACAGGAGTTAACAAAAATGTGGAAACAAATTATAAATAATTACACTGTGTTTTATATTGCATTTAAATGTATTTTTTTTAAATGTAATGCGTTTGTGCAGCTGGTTAATCGATCAGGTTTTCCACAGAAATCCTGCAGAGCCATACGGATGTTTACTGGCTTACTGGAGGCCTGCATCATCACAGCCACATTCAATCAGCTAAATCACCACGACGGACAGCGGACAGATGCCGGGAACGTGACGAGGTCACACGCACCGGGACGTGACGATGTTGCGATCGATCCTGGCCTTCAGGTCCTCGTTCTGCTGCTGCAAGACCTGCACTCGCTCCTCCAGAACCACATTTTTCTGGGTCTGTGCAAAAACGAGCAGGACAGCCTCTAAAATCTGTATTCTGTAAACCGTAATAGCGGTATTCATTGGCAGGCTGTGTAATGACATCACAGCAGGTCTCTCTCCCGTCTCCCGTCTCCCGCCTCAGCGTTGGCTGCCTATGGCTCTGTGGGGAGGCACCACTCATCACACTCATAACTGTCTTTTGACATGGTTCATTTTTCACAATGTGAATACGCAGTATTTTCAAAAACAAAGACAAAATGTAAAACTCCAGCCTTTATAGGTCATTTGGATGGTGATTTTCCATGATGGTACCTGTCATCTTTTCTTCAAATGCAGAAAGACTTTACCCAAAATGGCCTGCAATAATTTTTTCATCAGAGCATTTATTTCACTCCACAGCATCTCACCAGTGGCCTGTAGTTATGTGGATATACACAAACACCATTCACACATTTCCACCTACCAGCGGCCTGTAGTTATGTGGATATACACAAACACCATTCACACATTTCCACCTACCATCTTCTCCAGTTCAGTGATCTTCATCTCCTGCTTGTGGATTTGCTGGTTCTTCATCTCCAGGACCTCCTTCAGGCTCTTCAGATCCTCCTTAACGTGTTGATATGGGGCCAAAGCATCCTGCATGCAAAGAACACAGCTGTACAAGCACCGAGCTCTGCAGCTGCCTGGGCCCAGTTAACACAATTCTGTTCCCACTCTACATATATACAACAAATACAGACTGCATTCAAAAATAGTTCTTTAAGTGATGCATAACACAGGTATAAAACATATTAGCTTATCCTGCTTCATTATTTCTAATACCTAAATCTATTTTATTTCTGCTTTTTATTACTTCTCTTAATTAAGGTTTTATGTTGTTTGTGAATGTATGCATGAAACTGCCAAGAGAAACTCCTACCGTGTAGAGCTGAATATTATCAGAAAAAACTCACATGTGATATTTCAATTTTTTTGCAATAAATATTGTGATATGTATAAAACGAAAAAGAAGTTGAAAAGTTACCCAAAATAAGCTACTGACAAATAGAACCAATCGACCAACAGAGTCTATCTAATGAGTGCCGTTGGCCTGATCTGTGCCGACGAATCACTTGCTTTTGCTCACTATCCTCTGTATGGAATGCAGAATATTTCCACAGCACAGAAGGCTAATGTCTTTCAGTGGCCATATTTTGTTTGCTTTCCTCTGCCTTACTTTTAATTAATATAAATTAGATAATCTTGAAAAAAAATGACCATTGAAACTGTAAAGTTTGCCAAGCAACTTTTGTTCCCTACGACAGAGTAAAATTGTTCCAGCAGAACTTGATGGTCTCAGCCCAGCTGACTATCACAATCCCTGTGATGTGACAGTGGCACGTGCATGGCATGCCATCTCCACATTACCGTAATCACTAATACTTGCAGGTATACCTGGTCAAACCAGGTAAATTCTGATTCTGATTAATTTAACTCTTATGAACAATGGGTGTCAATGGGTATCACTACTGCCAAACAACTGTAGGGGTGGGGGTTCAAATCCCACCCCTATCCGGTATGTGTGTAGTTTTCTGCATGGGCTTGTGCAGGTTTCCTTCTCACACTCCAAATACCTGCAGACCTACTCTATACATTGTCCATAGTGTTGTGTGTGTGTGTGTGTCCTGTGATGGACTGGAGTTGCGTCCAGCTATTGGACAAAAGGGTGGAAGATGGATGGATGTCATGAATACAACAGGTCTAATGAACAGTCTGTTGACGTCCCTTTGGTTTTATCAGTTTTGGGTATAAGACATTCTGCTGACTCTCAGAATTACACTGGTGGTGTTTTTCTTGACTCTACCATTAAAGCATTAACAAACTGCACTGCTACAGAGTGACCTAATTCTGTGTCCACTTCACCCCAAAGATGTTACACTGGGGCTAAGACATAACATTTCTGCTGGACAATCACAATCTGTCATTTTCAGTTAATGTATTATCTTATCAGCACTTCAGGTCACCTGCAGGTGTGCCGGTCTTGAGAATGAGCGCATTTATCATTGCGCCGCCGCGCGTTTGTGAGACCGTACCAAAATCTGCTCGTCGGTGCTCTTTCGCAGAGCCTCCTCAAATCGCTTGGCGCGGTCCCGCAGGCTGCGGTTCTGGAAGGTGAGCGTGTCGACCTGGTCCTGCCGGGCACAGAGGAGGACCGAGCTCACATCCTGACCACCCCGTGTTATGGTCTGCTGCCATTCACCCCCCATCCCCGAGCATGATTTCCCTGCTCTGTACAGCATCTAAACACTGGCCACCCCATGGAAGACCATAACCAGACCACAGCTGTCATTCTTATGCTTTTATGTCCCCCCCCCACCCCCCCAACAGTCCTACCTGTAGCGAGAGCCTGAGCTTCTCAAAGTCCTGCTCCAGCTGCTTCCGCTGCTGCTCGTGGGCCTCCTTCAGCTCTACCAGGGGAGAGTGTCACCAGCCATGAGAGAATGACCCCCCCAGCTACCCCCAACCACCCGCAGACTCCTGCCCCCCTTACTCACAGCCCACCTCTGCAGTGGGGCATTGCTAAAGATGGCCCTCCCCATGCACTAATGACTGTACATCCTCCCAAACCAAAGTCAGAGGTTAAAAACCCCGCCCTGCTTATGTCAGCAATTGGTACAGTGAGCCTTGAAAGCTAAGCCGATAAACCCTGAATGTTTTGCCAGCCGCACAGGCATGCAGCCACAGCAAGCCCCTGCCTGGACCTGCACAGGCGGCACCACCATCCACACAGGCCTGCAGCCACAGCAAGCCCCTGCCTGGACCTGCACAGGCGGCACCACCATCCGCACAGGCCTGCAGCCACAGCAAGCCCCTGCCTGGACCTGCACAGGCGGCACCACCATCCCGCAGCGCACTCACCCATCAACGTCTTGGCATGCGCCTCCTGCAGCATTGCCATGGCGACCAGTTGTGCATTCTCCATCTCTGACAGGGCCGCCTCGTGGTTCCCATTCATCTCCTCGATCTGGGATTAGCAAGAGGCGAAAGCTGAGATGGACGTTTTACCCCCACTGCTGCTTCATTACTCCCCATCTAGACATGACTCGACAAGACCATCTCTACAAGCTTAAAACCACACACTGGTTATCAGCATGGGCTGCATCTCTGCGTGTAACAGAGCTGAAACGTGAGCGCGGCGTATAGGCTGGAAGTAACATCGGCCTGCCGGCACGTTTATATTTCTGTTGATCGTCTTCTTGTGGGTACTACGATGCTAATTACTGCAAAACAGCAGAGATTACAGAGGCTGGGAGTTCAAGTGAGGTCCTGGTGCACTGTGTACATACTGCTAATATTGCGTTAAGACACTGAGGGGTGTGGCCGTCCCAAGGCGGGGCAAAGCCATGTGCTGTGCAGATTTATTTACTTCATCTGTGCCTCATTACCATGCCACATAAATACAGTGTGGATACCTGTGTAGTATAATACTTCCATCCAAATTAAAATCTCTTATCCAAAACAGGACTGCAGGGCCTGCAGCTGATCCTAGGCAGGATAAGGCACAGCAGGGGATACACAATCACATACCATGGGCAATTTAGGGATTAGTATAACTGAAATTCTTTGGATGGCCAGAGAAAACCACAGTACCTAGGGGAAACCCGAGCAGACACAGAGCGGAGGTGCGATGGAACGTTGGAGTACGTCAGGAGGAATTTAGTAGTACAGTCCTATGGTACTCATTTAAGAAATGGAGTGAACCTACATAGCAATAAAGTAGTAATGGGCAAAAGAAGCTTCATGAACCATTTGCTGTATTTTTTGATGCCACTAGATGGTGCTCTTAGTTTAATTTAGGGCATGCTTTGAGCCCTTTTATGAACAGAGATCACCATCTAGTGGGGTCAGAAAATACTGCAAATGGTTCAGGAAGCTTCATTTGCGCGTCACTACAATACACCCCCACCTGTTCCTGGTGCTGCGTGTGCACCCTCCCCAGCTCTATCCGCTGCTCCTCACGCAGCCGCCCTGCCTGGGCCGTGTAGCGAGCTGTCAGCCCTGTTTCCAGTGCCCCCAGCTCTGCCTCCTGCTGCACCCGCAGTGCCTGAAGCTCGCGCTCACAGCTCTGCTCCAGCTCCTCCTTGTCCTCCCGCAATTGCTCCCAACGCAGCACACTGGAGGCTGGGGAAAGAGGCGGGGAGGCAGGGCGACTGAAAGGTGAGGAGGTAAAGGCTGGAGGGTGAGGCGATCACAGCACAACACCCGGGGAGGATGAGTGACGCTGGCTCGGCCCCCGAAGGTCCACACTAACCTGCTTCATCTCTGATCCTGGCCAGCTCCAGGGACAGTGCCCTCTGCTTCACAAGGGCATCTTCGCTCTGCAGCACAGACAGACACAAGCAGGCAGGTCAGAGCCTTGGGCAAAACACAGCAGCTTCTCCCATCCGGGGTCCAGACTGATGCAACCTTTGGGTCCGACTTAAATATGGAGCGGAAGGTCACACGGCTGGCCAGAATCCTTCCATCCATATGGGGCAGGGTCGCGGAGGCAGCAGTCTAAGCAAGGATGCCCCAACCTCCCTCTCCCTAGACACCTCCTCTAGCTCCTCGGTTTGTCTCCTTTTTTAACGTTGAATTACCGCTGTGTATGATGATGCACCATGTAAACTCGCCTCACCTTACTTTAGTAGGCAGCACCTTCAAACCCTGTTTCTGTCTCTTAGCTCCTCTCTGGTTCACCCTGCAGTGCAGAGCACGTGTCTGTGTCTGTGTCGTGTGTGAGGCCTGTGATGGACTGATGCCCCACCTGGGGTGACCCAAGGTGATTCAGGCTCCAGGTTCACCACCACTGTTCCTGTGGTTATGCACGATGCACAGATATGCAATAAGGTAACGACTTATTTTTCGCTGAATTCTTGTTTTACGGTATCATCTTCAAAAAATGCAATGGGATCTCCTGAAATATAATTTTTAAATCTCAGGCCGTTGCTTGCATATGTGCCCCCCACCCCCAGAGAAGACAGGCCGCTTGATGTACTGGCCATTGCCCCCATGGGTATGTGTGGCGGCAAATTTTAATCCCAGTCCAGCCCTGCCTATCAGACTGGTTCCCCAGCAGCCCACCTCCACCCCTCCTGTGAGCAGGAGGGCTGTGACCTCAGCCCCCCCCACCCCCCCCCCCAAGCTAATCTAATTTCCCAGCGTGGACCTGCAGAGGCGCCCGCTCTCTGGGGGCTCTGAGGCCGTGACTCTTCATCCCTGTGCGTGCAGTCATCGCTTCGCCATGGAAACACGAGCTGCTTTAATGTTACTGCGGGCATTTCTCGCTAGGCGACATGGAGCAGGGCGTCTCTCTGTCAGGATGCTCACTGCCTTTTCACACATCTCTCTGTAGATGAAACAAGTTCCCACTTGACACAAAATCTGTCACATTCGCCACGGTGACGATGGCAGTGAACGGGCAGGGGCGTGAAAATCATCATGTTTACCAACAAGCGCTCACATGTGAAAATACAAGGAATCGTTCAGAAACGGCGATAGAGAACCACGCTGTTAGAGAACTCCCAATGGACAGGAACCCCCCCCCCGATGGCAGAGCACAGACCGCTAACACCAGAACAGCAGCAAAGCCGGGTTCTCCATGGTAATTACACAGGTCCACCTCAGATGGAGGCCTGGAGAGGTGATCCAGCTCTACAGCTGTGGATATCATCACCATTTGGGTGCAGCTCACACCCCAAATCCCAACATGACCCCCACCCAGCCCTAACCCCGACCCAGCCCTAACCCCCACCCAGCCCTAACCTTAACCATAAGTAACCAAACGAGTTTTTGATTGCAGTCACTGATTTTTGTAAAATGATGCCCCTTCAATGTAATATAAACATAACTCCCTCCACCCACCCGCATGATCCAGTGCTGATGCTGAGACCAGCAGGTTAACATGTTCAAAATGCATGAAAACGACAGACAGCCTCACCTGCTCTGCTGCACCTCTGCATAATGCCACTGGGTGACATGTAACTGCGTTTAACCCAGTCTGAGGGTCTGAATCCCCACCATGCTGTACTAACACACGGCAGCCCGGAGCTGGAGGACGCGTACACTCAGGGAGTGTCCCTGTCAGGGGGCGGGCAGTGGGGGGATGTCTGATCGATACGCAGATATGCATTTCCCAGCATGCTGTGCAAATTTCCTCTTCTCCCAAAGGGAATGACTGCTTATGTATATGCAGGCTCACGCACAGAAACACACACACACACACGCACAGAAAAACACACACACACACACACACACACACAGAAATCAACACACACGCACACAGACACACACAGAAACACACATGTACAGGAACACACACGTACACACAGAGAAACGCACGCAAACACAAGCACATACACACACACACACACACGCACACACATGTAGGGTAAACATATCCTTATGGGGACCGCTCATTCATTTCAATGGGAAAAATGCTAACGCTAACTATGACAACCTTAATCCCTACCCTGCCCTAACC